GGGAGAAGCTCTCCCACCAACATAGTGCTGTCTATGCGGGGCGTTATGTCACTCAGGGGTGTGAAATATCCACACCCCTGAGCAACTTAGTTATACGGGTATAGGTCTGTAGTGTAGACCTGGCCTAAGACAATCAAGTCTCCCTGAAGGGTTAAATTATAAACTAGAGTACCCGTGAGGATTGCGCTCTGGGAAAAGGGTGTGCTTGAGCTCCTGGGAAATCTTGGGAGCCCAGGGTGGCTGGACCACAGTGTCCCACTTCCAAGAAAGGTATCAGAGAGTCCAAGCCCCAGGAGGTCTGTAACACTGGTATAAGAGTGCCTTTTTCTGCTTTAGCTTATGTTGCTTTGGAAGTGGTTTAAGCTCAGCTGAAACAGGCTACTTTTATTTTGGAATAAGAGCATCCACTGTTGGAAATATATATATTATCCTAGTATAGCTGGAAACATTTCCCATGCAGGCAAGCCCTTAGTGACTTAGGTATGTCAGTCTATTGAAAGTCAATGGGTGTTTTTGACAACCTCACTTTATATATTTTTACTTCAGACTAGGTAACAGCTCAAAGATGTTACTAAATGGTCCTTCTGTTGTGTAATATGTAATGATGCCACAATGAAATGTATGTATTATACTTTATGGTGGCACCATTTGAATATAAAGACCAGATAAACAGAAACCAGGTGTTGACAGATAGTGCATGCATAAAATATATACATCAGATAACCCAATAAAATCCCACAGAGAAGGGTTATAAGAAATTGTAATGATTATATTTCTGTTGCAATATTATAGTGCAATATTTTCCATCACAGTCCACTATCTACCCATTTGCAATTAGAAAATATCTATCACCAAAATGCACAACAGTAGTTCCACAGAATGCATGCTATTCATTCTTAGCTAAGGTAAATGTCAGGATAGAAAATAGATGGAAAAACGCCTTACCCTCATCAAGTGAAGAAGAGTTACCCATGGTAAAGAGATGTAAATGGGAAAAGCTTGATGCAATATGAGTGGAAAGGAAAAGAAAGGCATCACTAAAAATAGGGGGGAAGGAAAAAAGAAAAAGAAGTGAGGAGGAAAGGGGAATGGTTTGTTTTTCATGTCCCTTACTGTAACTGTAACTAAAATATTATACTTTGTAAGCAAGATGGTAATAGCTGTAAAACCAGTACTCCACTTTACTGAACTGAATTAAAAAGACAGCCATAAAATCAAACATACTCCCACTAACTAGTATCTCACAGTTCATTATGACTGTAGACAAGCAATTTATTTTGCATACCTTGGGGGCTTGTTTTCACTAGCAAATTACATCAAGTTGGAATATGACCCTGAGGAGTCGTGTTAAGATGATCCTGACCACAACTTTTCAGTCTGTATAGAGAGGGACAAGACATGTAATGGATAAAACCAAATGAGCCTAGGGTTTATTAATGACCATCTAACTCCATGTAGAACATGATGTGTCCCTGAGTATACAGACTGCAAAGTAGCGGTCAGCATCAAGTTAGCTAACTTCTCAAGGTTAACTTCCAATTCAATACAATTTGCTAGTGAAGACGAGCCCCTTTGCTCTTTTGCATCTATTTAAAATTAACTTTCTGACATACAACATTATCTGAATTGTACAATATCAATCTAGTGAAGCTCAAGCAATGGCAATTCAGTTATAATTTGTGTGCTAGTACTCAACACCCCTCTGACACAGAGTATAGCAGAACCTTACTGACAGTGGGAGTGCCGCAGTGCAGATTAGAAAGGCTTCAAAATTTCCAGCGCCAGGGGGCCAGGACAGTGCTGAAGCACCACCCTGTGCACTAACACTTAGTAGCATCATGAAACCAAGCTAGGCCACATATGATTGGCTACTGCTGGTGCTCCTCCTCCTCCTGCTGCAGGGGTTCTCAGAGCCCCAGAACAGCTCTATTTAGGCTATTGTAGAAATGGAAAGTAACCAGTGACCAAGATTACAGTGAAATGGGTATGCAAGAGCTGTTAGAAAGGCCACTTCGGTTCCCTCCTCTTCAAAGACTACTCCTACAACAGCTACTGCTTCTGCTTGCATGCTTTTTACAGTACTGAGCCCTACTGTGGGTCTGTGCTGAGAAGAAGATGGTACTTAGATCCACCTCCTTCTCACTTTGTTGGAAGCAAAAGGGGAAAAGGAGGCAGCTGGGGGCTGCCCTCTCAACCTCACAGCTCATCAGCATATAGGGTAAATCCTGCCTTAGTGACCACCTCTGAAGACAGACCACCTGTCACACACGACTACTTGCAGAAGCCGCAGAACGCTCCCACTCTCCGGTGTGCAAACCTTTGAAGAGAGACCACCTCTTACAAGTGACCACTTTTGCTAACTTCCAGGAGTGATCCCTCTTGGCAGGTTTTACTGTATTATAAAGTTAAGGCAGTTTTGGCAATGTTCACTACCTTTCACGTATCCCAATTTAATTCACTCTGACCTCGTGCTGCCCAATCAGTCAGTGCTTTTAAATCCATCTGTCAATTCTCTAACATTTTTACTAACAATTTATTATCAACAAAATCTCACCAACTTACTGTCCCTTCCTCTCATGAACGATTAGTAAATCTATAAAACAACACTGATCCATAGTAAACCCTGGGGAGGTAATCCCTCTCCATTGCAAGGAGCAGTCATTCACTGCTACTCATTTTAGCTTACAAAATTTTAATCCATCACAAAACTTTACCCTCTACAAGGTGGCTTTTTATTTCCTTGATCAATAGCTTTTTGAAAATCCAAGTAAATTATGATCACTGGGTCACCTTTCACTCCCAAGTTAATACTTTTTTCTATGAACTCTAATGGGCTAGAAAGACATGTGGTGTAGATGTCATGCTCGTTTGACCCTATCAGGTTATACTTATCTAAGTATACTTTCCTTTATCCAATAAATTTACCTAAGTGTTCACACTATTCTATCCTTAGACTCATTTAGTTCTTTCCATTAAAGTTACTAGCAGCTCAGTGGCTAAAACCTTATGCAATGTTTTGCAAATGTGATTTGTTTATTTTTGTGTGCATTGTCCTTGGGTGATCTTTGTATTTGCTTCTGTTCTCCCTACCAGTTCCACCTCAAAAAATAAAAATATCTGAAATGATTCTGGAAGAGAACAGGGATTGTTCTTAAACAACATTTACTAGTTATCCCACGATACAATATTTTAAAATCTGTGCTTTTATCATATCGCACTTTTAGCACATCGCAGTGCTAGGATACTTATATCACACCATGCTATTTGGTGCATTTTTCCCTTCTAGTACACAGCGGCCTACAGGCTTTGAACTAAATTTATAAACATTAATACTAAATGCTGAAATTGATTGCATTTCCACATCATACTGTTGGCTTTAACATAATATTAATCAGAAAACATCATAATATACACCTGTAAAACAGGTTTCAGAGTGGTAGCCGTGTTAGTTTGTATCAGCAGAAAGAACGAGGAGTACTTGTGGCACCTTAGAGACTAACAAATGTATCTGAGCATAAGCTTTCGTGGGCTAAAGCCCACTTCATCAGATGCATCCAGTGGAAAATACAGGAGGAAGATATCACACACACAAAGAATATATAGATATATAGATATATATATATACACACACACAGAGAGAGAACATGAAAAAATGGGGGTTGCCATACCAACTCTTAACAAGACCAATGGATTAAGGTGAGCTATTATCAGCAGGAGAAAAAAAACTTTTCTAGTGATAATCAGAATGGCCCATTTCAAACAGTTGACAAGAAGGTGTGAGTAACAGTAGGGGGAATATTAGCATGGGGAAATAGTTGGGGAACTGTAAAACAGTTCATGCAATTTAATTGCAATGTGTTTTGCTACGTTCACCTTCATTAAAAATAAAAAAAAAATACTGTTTACTCCCTTAGAACAAGCTTGCTGTCATAGAACACACTGACAGCAACAAATTCAAAAAGCGGATACATGAATACTGAGAGCAATAATCAAGGTCATCTTCATAAAACTAAGAAAAATTATTTGTGTTCACTTTCTATATTTTAAATTATATATAAAAGTTTTCCTTTAAAGTCTGGAGAAAAGGCAGACTGGTTGCTGAAAGTATGATATTCTACCAAAATGTGTTAATATTAATGTGTTCTATGAAAAAAAACAAAACATCAAATTAACTTTAGATGCTACTAATGAGTTCTAGTAATGCTTACATTCAGGGTACAAAGATTCTGCCTCTTACAAAAACATGCCTGCTGCCGCACAGTTGTTACTAAACTGAGTGACTGGAGCAGATGTCATTGGAATACTTTCACATACAAATGACTCTGTCCCTGGGTTTGCTTTCAGAAATAAAGAAGAGTCAGAACACCTCACTTTCAGTGCCTCAGTTACAACAACATCCTGCTCAACAAACATCTCTTATGGATTTCAAGCTTAGCAATGGAAAAAAAAATAAGAAAAACAATCCAATCTTTAACTTTACTCCTGTTCAAGGTGACTCAGTGATTCAACTGTACGTATTTTAGGGATATCGATTATTATCTTAACTGCAGTCGAGTTCATGTTCATTTTAAAATTGGAACAGACACTTCCTTTAATACTTTTTCAGCAAAATGGATTTTTTAAAAGCAGTCTCTACTTCCCTTGTATTTGAAATGTAAAGATTATTGGTAACTACACCACAATGTAAACCTTTAACACATTACAAATATATAATACACATTAATCTTCACCTTACCAAAACATAGTACAATTATTCATTTGGCCTAGCCAATTATTTCAGGCTTTTAACAATAAAATCAATTTCCCATGCCAAAAAATGTAAGTTTCATATTTCTCTGTTCTCTTAAAATAAAGTTTATGCAAGGAACGTGTGATTAACCTTGCATTTAAAATTTACTATGAACCCATTAACTGCTTCTTGGAGCAGAGCAAGTACCACTAAAATGCAGAATTCTACACCATAACTTTGTTAGAGGAACAACAAAAATATGTCAACTTACCAATGTCACTGCTTCTTTCTGAGGAGTCCTTCTCCAAGGTTCCGGATACTGTACTGCCCACTAACTCTATTTTTGTACTATCATTCCTACGGTGAGAAAAAAAAGAGGAGACATTTATTAGAGTTTGTCTGTGTGTTACAATAAATTGCCAGCTTGCAATTAATAAAAAGAGAGGGGATGTGTTCCTCTTGTGTAGCACTGAGTTATAGCAACCTGTCACAGAGAGCCATCTCTAGTAAGCAGACATACTGCATGGATTAACCTTATCTCATTTCTCTTTAACACCTGTCAAAAAGCTATTTTAGACACAGTAGTGTCCTAAATTATTCCTCAAATGTTCACAGCATCTCAACATGAAGGAAATCTAAGGGCAAAGGGCTATCCTTCAACAGCTTATTCTTAGTTGCTTACAATTAATAATTGGTGCCTAGATATTATGGATAGGTGAACCAGAAATCTGCAGATAAATGGATGAAGAGAAAAAATGTCAAGTTGGGATAATGGGATCCAGCAGTGCTCCGTTCTGTTCATAGAAGCAGCTTCCTCACCATGATAAGTGCTTCCCACTAGAAAATGAAGATTTTTGTACATATTACCCATCATTATACTACGAAATCCCTTTCTATGGTTTCAAGGATGTCTCCCAACCCAGGAACTGTAGAGCGAAAATTTCTTCACCATAGAAAAATGACAGAGGAATGGTGATACTTTATATAGGGGGGACAGAAATTTTTAAGAGCAACAGAGATTCAGCCACGAGTAACCCTGTTTTTCTTCCATGCAAAAGCTCACATAATACATACAAGTTTATCAAAGCAATATGACCACTCAGACAGAATAAAATGGGATCAGCGGTAGGAGCACATGGTTAAACTGCACAGGTCACAAACACAACATCCTTGTGAAAATTTACTATGAGATTTCAAGACAGCTTCAGTTCACTTAATGGAATAAAAAATCTGTATTATAGTCATGAAATATTTATCCCATTTCATGGCCAGCCTCACAATATTGTATAATTCCCACAATAATTGTCACCATACATACATAAACAGTATTATCTATACAGTGTTATTGTACACATATCTTTGCACACTGGGCAAAATGTGCCAAATATATAACTGCCCCTGCAACTAATGACCGAGATATTTAGCGTTTCTTAAAATAGTGGTATTAGCTATTAATACGTTAGAAATAAAGCATGCCACAATTGCTAACTGTTTTACCACTCACTATTTTATCAGCTAATTTAAACTAATGGGTTATCCAGGATCACTTTTGTATCCTGTTATGCCTATTTGTAAGGACATTTTATAGGAATAAGGCTTGACATTCGTATGATCAAATCTATAAAATAGTCTTTTAATTATTTGGATAATTCAGAAACTTGGAAAATTAGGGTAAAATGATGTTTTTGTTAAATGTAATTTACAGGATATGTTTGGTTATTTCTTTTTACAATCATTTCAGTTTAATACGCTAATACATATTTTGAAAGTATCTTCTGGTATCTTATTCTGAGATCTGTAAGATCTGCCAATTAGAATATCAAATAAAAATAGAACTCCTACAGAAATTTTGCAGATTCTAAGGGAAAAATCCTGTAGATTTTAATAAAATTCCCCTTAGATTTCTGTTGCTGTTGGTTAGCAACGGCATCCTTATTCTAGTGTATGTCAAGAGTCTTGCATTCATGGGTTTCAGTGGGCTGTTTTTATATTTTGTAATAAAAATCAGTTTCTTCAGTTAAATAAATAATTTTCTTTTGGAGGCTGGATAGGGCTTCAAGGACTGTGGGTTGGGTACCAAGAAGGCCCTGCAACTAGTTTGGATGTGGGGCAAAGCTGCAACTGACCTGTCCCCAGACATAATGGTTTATTTGGGCATGCTCCACTATTGGTAATTACACCAGTTACCAGTAGTTCAATTTTCTAGTGTAGACAAGGCACATACTATCTGTTGAGATGTCTCTTTTGAAACCAGGGTTTTACCCTGTTTTTCTGAGATATGTTCATCTGAAGCAATCTTTTTCACTTTCATCTATTGGAGATTAAGTGCATTACAAAAGATTGGTGTTGCTTTTTGAAGGAATAGAAGGCTATACAAATGGCAAAAGGTCAGTGCCAGCAATTGAGCATTTAAGGTATGAGCAACTTGGGGTGCTGAGGATGCGGCAGCACCTCCTGGGCTTGAAGCAGTAATAACAAAATACATGGTTTACGCTTTCAGCACCTCCACTATAATTTATAAATTGTTCTAGCACCCCTGTGAACAATCCTATAATAAACTTGTATGTGTGTGATGGACAAATTCTGTTCATTGGGAACATTTTTAAGATATGGAGTCTTGAAGGACATTTAGCATTCCTTAAGACAGCGGTGTTAAGTATCCTTTTAGGATCCAACATCAAGTTCAGCCTCAGTATCCTTCAGTCCTAAAATCGTAATAGTTTACAACCCCAACCTCTCTCAGAACACTTCCAATTAACATTCTTTCTTCGCCATTAAATACATCTTGGCAAAGAGGTCCAGGGGAGGTACAGTGAAGACAGTTTTTGGGATTACCACCAGAATACTGTTACGTTGTTATACATTTCTTCCGGTGATTAAAAAAAAGAGGGAATTTTATTGATCAAGTAGATCATTCTGAACATCCTCATTTATCATCAGCATTTTACTAATCCAGTGTGGTAGAATGTCTTAATTTCTCTTGCTTCCTCACCTACAGGGATGTCCTGACAACTTAATATTTCATAATATGATCTTGTTTTCCAGATCATCAACTGGGCTTTTTGTCTTTTTACATTCTGATCTATGTATCCAATTTTTTGTAATTTCTTCCAGTTTTCAACAAAACTTGCCAGACTTCTTATCCATTACAGCATTTTTAGTCTGAACAGTTCTAATAGCTAATGCCATGTTCATGCTTATAAATCTGGCATTATTAACTAAATCCAAACCATCCTTTGCCAGATTAGACCACCAGAAGCAGACAGGTGGTAAGTGCTTGTATCTGCTAGTGAAAAGTAAGGAGCAAAATGTTAAGTCTTTAGAAGATCATGGGGCAGTATCAACTTAAACACATTTTTCTGTACTTTTAAAAAAACCAATTACCATTACAAGTAACACCCCATAAGAGATTAGAGGATTACATATTTCTCTCTTTTTTCTGTGTTACATTATGTACTGGACAGCACTTTCAATCCAGTTTCACTGTTTACCCTTCTGTAGGTCTTTCAAACAGCTAATGGGGAAACATAAACATTCTTAAACATAGAAACATGAGATTGTATGTATGTATTAATTATTTTCTTTAGTGTTATGTTCAAGCACCTCCCATGTATAGTCAGGTGGGGAGAGATAGACATGTCCCAAGCACTTCAGTAAGACTTCAAAAACTGAGAGGGGTCAAGGGCAGGTATAGCATCTTAAATGACTTTTTTAATTGACTAGATTTCAATAAAGAGTGTCCTTCTATAGGCTATTATTAGACGAATGAAGGGAAGCATGATCTATGGGTCCTATTCTATTCAAGTTCTTAACCTGCCCTTATCAAGGTAGTATATGATCACCTAAAGTTAAAGAGAAGGACTGAGAGTCAAGACATCTACATTGTATTCTTGTCTGTGCCACGGACATTGTGTGACCATGAGTAAGTCATTTAACTCCTGCATCCTCTGTTGCCCCACTTGTAAAACTGAGTCAATGATACTGATCTTTCCCTCCAGTGTATTGCAAAACTTAATCAAAGCTTGTAAAGCACATTGAACAGCCACTGATGGAGGCTATACATTATTTTTCAAGTAGCATTCTAGAGTAGTACCTTGAGTAAGTCATTGTGTAATCAAAACACATTCTGTAACCCAGTTTGCAACATGCTTAGACTTGCACTACAATAGCCAGGGAAAATGGACTGAAATCAAATCAAATTTCTAGGCACTACAGTGTTTAAGAGAGGAGCATCCTGGCTAATATTATTCACTATTATATTTAGCTACCCAGGAGAGTAGAAAGGGCCACGCAGTGGCCATAGCTAATCTAGAGTTGTTGGTCTTGTAACTTGAGTTAACAGAGTGCCAATTAACTTGAGTTAACTAACTTGATTGTACATGCTAATATAGACACTCCACAAACTTTACAGCAGGAATAAACATCTTCAGGTGTCTAATTGACAATCAATTCAATTGAGTTACAATAAAACCAGAAGCGCTAGTCTAGGTAAAACCAGTGTGACAGAGTGATGATACAGTATCTAACCAAAGGGCTTTAATATTATTTCAAAGAAAGTTAGAATTGGAAATGAACTGTAACATCAATAGAAAACCTACACTCTGTGAATTTGCAACTTTTAACAATACCTTGTATGCGTCAGAGGCACAGCTGGTCTTTCCGGTCGTCTTGGGGGCAATGCACCAGGTCTGTTCAGAGAGTTTGCTTTGGGTGGTCGAGGTTTCTTCGGAGGTATCGCAGGAACCGAAGGCTTGTGCAAATCTACCAGTTTTTGCTCTCTTTCTGGTCTTTCTTTAAATCAATTTCCCCCCAAAAAAGAACAAAGACCTTATTAAGTGGAATTCACTGGCACACATTGATTTACAATGTACAGAAGCTATGAATGTTAGTTAAACCATATCTAAGAAATAAGTCTGCATTCTTCACTGTTCTGCCTTATTTCACTCTTTTCTGAGAATAAAATGTTTATACCAGTTTTGTGCTAAACATATTTCAATAGTTTGAATTTGCATTAAACCTACTCTTGGCTGACATGTGTAGACAGTGTATGAATCTGAGTGTAATTTCTGATTTTAATAATTAAAAAAAACTTATTGATTATCTAAATAACTATTAAAATAAGAAGACAAGAGAATTACACATCATATAGAAACATTTTTTCCAAGCCCACCTTCATACTAATTTTTATTCTGTGAGATAATACTCAGTTAGAAGAGCACAAAAATAAGGATAATTTTGTGTATTCTTAATGCTCTGCTTAAGCATGCACATATCTTCTTTTGAAAATGTATTTGGCACGTATTTAATACAAATATATTTAAATGAAAAATGAATCAGCTTCAGATACTAGGGTCAAAATATAACAACGTGGGGGCCAACATTTAGACACCCAGATTCATATTTAGGCATCTAAATAGAAGTGGCCTGATTTTTTTTTACAAATTTGGGCAATTGGATCCACAGGAAGTAAGTACCTCTCAAAAAGGGCTTAAATATGGATGTAGGTACTTAATATTTGGGATTCCAAGTTTAAAAAGTGGTTAGTTTGAATTTAAACTCATTACTTTTCATAGGAAATTCTACAGTCTTTAACATGCCAATGCTTACTATTGCTAGGATGTACATAGAGCACATACAAACAGCTTGAATGGTCCCATTATAAAATATGCTGAAAATGCACATAGTAAAATGTAGCTAAACACTTTTAACACTCCAGATTCCTTGGATGAAACCTTGGCTCCATTGAAGTCAGTGGCAAAACTCTCACACCTTGTCTCTCATAATATACCAAACCCATCAGTGACAAGATGGTCTACAGTATGTTGTGAATATACACAGGAATCCCTATGGCATACACTTAAGAATATTACACAGAGCCAAGCTATCTCTTCATAAGTTTTAGGATACTAGGTTTGAAGGAATCATGGACCACAAAAACAGCCATTGGCAATTTGTCTTTGTTGATAATAGTTGCAGGGAAAAAAATTAAATAAATTCCAACATAAAAATGTGTTCAAAGGTCTGATTTCAACTCACAAAAGCAGTGGCATTCAAGCCCTGGAGACCAATTTATTGCTGTGTTGTCTAAGTGATGCAAAATATTATAAACCATTTGTATTTCACAGGCATATTTGAATGGGCTAGTGGTTTAGGTTAAGCATAGTATCAGCCAAGTTATAAAATGTATAAAAAGAACAAAACATCCACAGAATACACTTAATTAAATCTATCTACTGACTGGAAAATGAAAAATTGAATCAACCTCCTTCTCTATTCATCACTCTGCAAACAGCAGACATAGAAGCACATTTCATACCTTTCTCCTCTGTTCGATTAGGAAGACATTCTGGCCTTTCAGGAGGTACCTTTTTGATTTCATGTTTTCTGTCTGTGGTACCTGTCAAAGAAAGGAAAATTCAGGATTCTGCAAAAAGGTATCTGCAAACAAACCAAGAAAAAGATATACATTTAAATTTGTCCCCCTTTATTTTGATTTTTTGATTCCCCAATTTTGAAATTTTCACGCTTAAACTAAAAATTAGCCCATTTTCAATTAAAATTATTTACGTCACAAAAGCATGCAAAATGTCATGATTGTGTAGTCTTTGCAACCAAGTTACATGATTTCCAACATGTCTCAGGAGAGCAGGCACTTGCAAAATGGAAGTGTAGAATATTTTGTGAAATGTGCAAACAATTGTTCCATTCCAAATATCAGGGAGTCAGAAAATTAAATTTTATAATCCTTTAACTCTGTATCATTGTTAGACTCAAAAATAATTCAATGGGGAGGAAAGTTCAGTAGAGTAAGTCAATTAAATGGGACTTTTTGATGCTAAGAAAATAATTCCACATAGATATCAGATTTATTAATTTAGTTGCTGTCTGCAATAATAATGCTTAGCACAAATAAAGTACTGTTTGTGTTTTAAAGTAGTTTTGAACATGATTCACAGCTAAAGGGGGTATATATACTCTCCGGCCACCCAGCTCTGAAGGCAGTGCAGAAGTAAAGGTGGCAATACCACGACCCCCCCCTACAATAACCTTGCAACCCCCTCACAACCCTTTTTTGGGTTGGGACCCCCAGTTTGAGAAATGCTGGTCTCCCCTGTGAAATCTATGTAGTATAGGGTAAAAGTACACAAAAGACCAAATTTCACAGGGGAGACCAGATTTCACAGTTCGTGACACGTTTTTCATGGCCGTGAATTTGGTAGGGCTCTATTTATAAGAATTATTATAACAGGTTTTGGCTTCATTCCACAAGCCAACTACAAGATGTTACAACCATTTTAGCTTAGCAGTGTTTAAAACGGCTACATAACACTATTTTGTTCCGTCTGTTTCACTGTGTGTTATGCAGCACTCAAGCACATTTACATTTTCTGAATGTGGTAATACAATACTTGCAGCTGGTCCCTAACACTCACTACTCATCAATGCTAATGGCCCCTCATTACTGGAGATTACTGGACATTGTTTCTCTGTAACTGCTCTATTCAACAGGCAACACTTGTATAGCTTATCATGCCCGTAAGTATTTTTTAACTGAGCTACACACATCACCCTTTTACACCACATAGAACAGAGGTTCTCAAACTGGAGGTCGGGACCCTACAGGGGGTTGCGAGGTTATTACGTGGGGGGTTGTGAGCTGTCAGTCTCCACCCTAAACCCTGCTTTGCCTCCAGTATTAATAATGGTGTTATAAAAGTGTTTTTAATTTATAAGGGGGGTCGCACTCAGAGGCTTGCTCTGTGAAAGGGGTCACCCGTACAAAAGTTTGAGAACCACTGACATAGAGGAGGACACTACTGCTAGCCTCCCAATCACAGTCACTCTAAACTCATGGGTTATATAAGTCGAATATCCCGAGAAACTTAAGTAGCGACACAGGACTTTAAACGTGTGTGTGTGTGCGCACGCAGCTACAACATGGCTGCAGCTGGCCAAGGTTCCTAAGTATGATTACCACACAGTCTCATCTCAAGCCCAGTTTGGGGATATAGTTAAGGTCCCAATTATACTAAAATACAAAATAGAACCAGGCTTTAATTTGTAATATAGACAAAGGCTAATTCTAAACATAGAATCATAGAAGAATCATAGACTCATAGAAGAATTAGGCTTGGAAGGGACCTCAGGAGGTCATCTAGTCCAACCCCCTGCTCAAAGCAGGACCAACACCAACTAAATCACCCCAGTCAGGGCTTACAAACTTCTAGGGATGGAGATTTCACCACCTCCCTAGGTAACCCATTCCAGTGCTTCACCACCCTCCTAGTGAAACAGTTTTTCCTAATATCCAATCTAAACCTCCCCCACTGCAACTTGAGACCATTGCTCCTTGTTTGGTTGTCTGCCACCAATGAGAACAGCCCAGCTCCATCCTCTTTGGAACCCCCTTTCAGGTAGTTGAAGGCTGTTATCAAATCCCCCCTCACTCTTCTCTTTGGCAGTCTAAATAAGCCCAGTTCCCTCAGCCTCTCCTTGTAAGTCATGTGCCCCAGCCCCCTTATCATTTTCATAGTCCTCCGCTGGACTTTCTCCAATTTGTCCAGATTCTTTCTGTAGTGGGGGGGCCAAAACTGGACGCAACAGTCCAGATGTGGTCTCACGAGTGCCGAAAAGAGGGGAATAATTACTTTCCTCAATCTGCTGGCAATGCTCCTACTAATGCAGCCCAATATGCCATTAGCCTTCTTGGCAACAAGGGCACACTGTTCACTCATATCCAGCTTCTCGTCCACTGTAATCCCCAGGTCCTTTTCTGCAGAACTGCCACTTGGCTAGTCAGTCCCCGGCCTGTAGCAGTTCATGGGATTCTTCCGTCCTAAGTGCAGGACTGCACTTGTCCTTGTTGAACCTCATCAGATTTCTTTTGCCCCAATCCTCCAATTTGTCTAGGCCACTCTGGACCCTATACCTACCCTCCAATGTAGCTACCTCTCCCACAACTTAGTGTCATCTGTGAACTTGCTGAGAGTGGAATCCATCCCATCATCCAGATCATTAAAGAAGATGTTGAACAAAACCGGCCCCAGGACCGACCCTTGGGCACTCCGCTTGATACCGGCTGCCAACTAGACATTGAGCTGTTGATCACTACCTATTGAGCCCAACGCTCTAGCCAGCTTTCTATCCACCTTATAGTCCATTCATCCAATCCATACTTTTTTAACTTGCTGGCAAGAATACTATGGGAGACTGTATCAAAAGCTTTGCTAAAGTCAAGATATATCACGTCCACCGCTTCTCCCATATCCACAGAGCCAGTTATCTCATCATAGAAGGCAATCAGGTTGGTCAGGCATGACTTGCTCTTTGTAAATCCATGATGACTGTTCCCGATCATCTTCCTCTCCTCCAAGTGCTTCAAAATGGATTCCTTGAGGACCTGCTCCCTGATTTTTCCAGGGACTGAGGTGAGGCTGACCGGTCTGTAGTTCCCCAGATTCTCATGTTAATTTTGCTTCTACCCTGTGCTATTTTTCTAGGCTCAGTAATAGAATATATTGGTTTTTAATTATTTAGCATGCAACTGATAGTTCTGGATCTAATTTTTCATATCATGTATTAACAGGTATTCAAAACCACCAATAGCAGAATCAGCCTCGTGCTAAGACTGGTAAAATATAGTACCATGTTGGTAAAATTGTGATTTCACACTGTAGTTGGTGGCAGGAGATATTAATTCATAACAACAAGTACAGCATTCTTCAGCCTTGAAATGTTGTACTTTACCTAAACATTCACAGACTTCTTGCAGATACATAGCATGGTCCAGTCAGTAGATTGGGTTTGGAACTAGGAACCTGAAACACCTGAGTTCTCATCTTTGGCTTTTGCCCCCAACTCAAATGGCCTTGAGCAAGTCATTTCATTTTTCCGTGTCTCAATTTGCACTTTATCTGTCCATCTCGCAAGGCTATTGTGATGACTAAGTACCTTGTGCTTTGAGTATGTAAAGGGCTATATACAGGCTAAAATTATTATTCTCACCATTTTATGAAAGAGAAACCTGAAGCCGAGATATAAACAGAAATGTAATCTTTTAAAGGGTTTTTCCAAAACATAGCCGTGATTATAATTTCATTTATGGATAAAGCATTGCTGATTTTGTTTTTAACACTGCAACCACCACTAGATGGCAAAATTATACTGCTCTCAGTGAGCAATGATTCAGGTAGATCATCTGAATAACAGAATCTATCTTAAAATTAAATCTCTTTTTAAGTGTCTCAAGACAAAGAAGTGAACTATTGGCATGATTAAACAAATAGAAACAACTGCTTGATTGAGTTAAATTTCAAATATAGTTCCTTGATTCACTATCAGATACACTAGTGAACTGAAACACAAACTTGGAACAGATAACAATAGGTAGAAAACCCTGACTAGACTGGCTATGTCTATACTTGCTTATTTACCCTAAAATTTCCCAGTGGTGGTAAGTAACAGTGGGAGTGCGATTGTAGAGAAGCCACTAGATTTTTAACCAAGAGGTGGGGGATAGAAAATAGTGATTAAAGTCCTTTGTCGTCACAAGTGCCTGCATCACTGTGACAACAACTGGGAAATTTTAGGGGAAAAACACTAGTGCAGACGAGGCCTTTGAGACCATCCCATTCATTCTGAGTTATTATGACCTAAACAAAACTTGAATTCTGTCTTTAAGGCTAAAATTTTCAAAAGCACCTTAAGAAACTTAGTTGCGTACGTTCCACTGAAACATAGTTGCTTCTAAAAATTTTACCCTAAGGTCTTATCTACAGAAGGAAAACTAGTTTTGGTTAACTGGGTTTGATCATGGTTCATTCTAACATCGTTTAAACACAGTTTGCTTACCCAGAAAATAATATGAATAATGTATTTCTTTCTTGTTCTCCCTAACAGCCTCCTTTGATTTAACTCTGTGTACTCAAGCAGAATATCATCAAGAAGGTAAAGTGAAGTACATATAATATTCATAAAAAATAATCCAGATATCTTCCTCATTCTCCACAGAAGGGATAAGAGTTTTAAAAACATGTTTATACCCACATGTTTAAACATGGCGATGCCTAATCTACACTGGGCAAGTAAATCATATTTGTGTTGTGTTACCATGAGCCACAGTTAACTCCAGTTCAGCTGCAGTAGTATAGCTTTGGACCTAGCCGTTGTAAAAATGCAGATATACCAGGGAACTTGGTTACAACACAGGTTGTCCCCTAAATCAGTTTGAACATGATTCTGTGGTTAATAGTGTACTTAAGCCTACCTATAAAATATGGATAAACAAGAAACTGAAACTACGAGATTGATTCTGCAACTGGATCCACACATTTTGACTCCTGCATGCATGCAGATCCAGTTTCAGGAGTGAGGCCTAAGTTGCAAATGGACAGGAAAAAGGCCATGTATTTCTAGTGCAGATGGGGCCTGCAGGTGAAAGGTTAATAAACTTTCCTACTACAGTTTATATTCCCTAAATTTATGACACTGACCTTGCAAAAATGTATGCATGTGCTTAACTTTATGCACCATCACAATTTGTTTTAAATTCCAAGAACAAAAGTTTCATGTTTAGTATAAACTGTTTGAAATGAACCATAATATTTAAGATAAATCTTCTAATGTATTATTTTCAAATAAGAATTGGCATGTGTCCTCTTTCAGTTCACTCACAATCTATTCAGCAAGCATATCACAATCTTTCATGGTTCTTTTGCATCTTGTATCCAATCTACTGTTAGTAATTAAGACTCTTTCTGCATATTGGCTTTGATACTGATGGCATCCATACAAATTTGAAAATACATGTGTTCTGTATGGAATGTGTTTAACTGATGTATATTATATAAGAGCAACAACACCTTACCTGACCCTTGTTTGATGATAGGAGCTGATGGAGGTGGTGGTTTTTTAGGTCTCTAAAATCAAGGAAAAGCAGAAAAGAGATTGCTTGTAAACACTTGAACTCATAGAAAGATTTGATGTAATCAGATGCTACTTTACAATGAGAATTACACGTCTTCAGATTCCAGGCCTGTCAATCACACATTTCACAAGTACTAAATTCATTTAAAAGACTTTCAAGAAAGAAAATGTAATTGAGAAATAATATGCCACTTTACTATTTTTATAGTTGAAATGTCTTTTAGATAAAAGCTCAGCATTAAGTGGCTTACAATCACTGAAAACAATGGCCTTTTATATACTGAAGTAGCCTTTGCAATTAAGCTTTAATCTTTTAAATATCCAAAGCCATTTTGAAAAACGTGTAGGCAATCCAAGAGCTGAAATATGTTTCTTACACTAAATTGAAGCATAAATGTAGAACACAGGAAATACTCTAGAGGTTACATTTTGTCATTTGCCAATATATGGTTGTTATCGCATTTGTGAAGAACATCTTCAAGCACAGTTATTAAGGCTTCCCAAGCTTGATGAAATGAAGCTAATTATTCACATCAACAGCCCATTATTCATCTTTGAATAATTATTCATCATTTATTTTCTCTGCAATCACCATCCTTCCTAAAAGGACTGCAACACTTTACATGTTTAACAAATATGATCACTGAATTGGTTCCAGATCTGTTTTTCTTCTCTATTATGTAGATTAGCTGTGGGTGGTTTTTCCTTTTGTGCGTGTGTGCGCGTGCGCATCATACTGACAGATGTTGTAAATGCCTTGGAGTGAATGCAAAATCAAACGGGGCATATGACACACTAATTTAACTCCCATACTTAGAATAAAAGGTCAAAGCTTTTGAGTTAAAACTCTTCTAATAAAAAACTATATATATATATATATAGTTTTTATTAGAGAGGTGATAGATAGATAGATAGATAGATAGATATAAAACACACACACACACACACTCTCTCTCTATGTGGTATTCCTCATTCCTCAGGATGACTCTATTATTCCTGGTTAATCACTTGCAACCTAATGGCCCCACGTAAAAGCCACTACTTTCTTGACTGAGGAACACTGATCAGGACACCCTTTATTATAGGTGGGGCTTGTAGCACCGCGTATTAAGTTTGCCTGATACTACCCATTATAAAACCGTGTATTCAGTTGCTTATAACTTTCCCAAACTTTAATCCTTTTGGCTGAAATTTTCCTTGTTGGGTGTTTGCCCCAGGCTGAATCTTTTGGGGGAAAGTTCAACAATTCCCCCCCCCTCCAAATTTAGCCAAGTTACAAGCCTTTGAAATAAAAATCACAGTTCACATGTGCTCAGTAAAGATTTAATAGAGCTAAACATCTACAATCTCTGAAGATCCCATTCTCACTGAGTATGGTCCATCCCCTCTCAGCTCTCACATGTGACTGGACGGCAGATGCACCATCCCCACAGAGCGACTGAGCATGTTCCAGCCCAAGGCTAAGGGGGTTCAAAGCCTTTCCCTCTAGTGGCTGTTCTGGGCCAGGGTGGGGCTGGACACTGGAGCTGAGAGCAGGGAGCTTGCCTCTCCTGTGCTTTCAGTGCTGGCCTCTTCTGCCCCCCCCCACTCCCCCCAGCTCATGCCCAAGCAGAGTGGAAGAGGAAGCCATCTGATTCGAATACAGGGGGAATAAAAGCAGGGAGAGAAAGAAGTATTTTGGGACAAGGAGTCTGGTAAGACTGGGACTAGAGGGGAAGGGAGAGAAACCTTGATTGGGAGGTGGAAGGGGGAGATTGGGACAAGGACACACTGGGAGCTAGTAGCAGCAGGGGCAGACTGTGATTGGTTAAGTGGGGGCAGTTGGGAGCTGGGGGGGTGGGGAAGGGATGCTGGGATTGGTTGGGTCAGGAGACTGGGAGTGGGAGCTGGAGGGCCTTGGAGTCAGTTGGTTGCGGGGAACGGGGGGGACACAGATTGGATGAGAAAATGGGGGGAGAGCAAAAAGTGGAACTGGATAGGCAAAGAGACCAGAACAAAGAACAGGGGAGGGGTTGGCTGAGTCCAAGATTGGCTGAAGAGCCTGAGGATGGAGCCTGTGACTAGGAACTAGTGTCAGGGGGGGTGATGGGAGGAAACAGATCAGACAAATAGCTGAGAAGAGGAAATGGGGACTGGCTGGAAAGGAGAGCGGGCCTGTGAGGTAGGGAGCAGACTGGGACTTGGCACTGAGCCAGGAGAGGGAGACCTCGCTGGACAAGGAGCCTGAGACTGGGATGAGAAGCCTGAGCAGAGGAGACTCAGACTGAAAATGTATCAGCAAAGGTGTCTGGAACTGGGGCAGGAGCCAAGGATGGGAAAGAAACAGGAGTGGCACAGGGACTGGTTGGAAGGGACAAGCTAGAAGGGCTCAAGGTTGGAAGTCTGCACCAAAAGAGACCAATTAAGATTTACTGGGGACCTGGGCACAAAGAACTTTTGCCCCCCCCAGCCGCCTCGCCATGGGTCCCTGCCTCCTGCTCCTCCTCTCCCCATTCCCCTTGTCTTCCGCCAACCCCACCTCCCTTCCCCACTGCCTCTACCCCCTTCCCCATTCCCCCACTCCCTCTTCCCCCCACCCTACCTCCTTCCCCTCCCCACTCCACCCTCTTTCCCACTCCCTCTTCCCCCCTCCCTACAACCTCTTCCCCCCACCCACCCCTTCCCTATTCCACCACTTCCTCTTCCCCCACTCCCCCCCCCCTTTCCCCACTCCCTCTTCCCCCCACTCCACCCCATTCCTCACTCCCTTGCATATTTTTTTTCAAGGGTCTCTGCCTCTTCTTGAAATCATCATCTTTTCATAACCAGGCCTCGTTCTTTTCCAGGCTATCCACTCTGATGTGGAATGACATTTTACTCTGTAAAAGAGTTTTTTTTGCTCTCACAAGAGCCATAAATTCCACCTTCATCTTCAATAATTGTGGTAGCTTCTGGGAGTTGTTTTGTGATTTCTTTATCAAGGTTTCCAAGTTATTTAATCTGGCATCCAATTTTACTGTCAGTCCTTGAGAGAGAGTGTCTCTGAGTCTTGATTTTATCATTGATGGCTTACATAATAATCACTCTGAACTATAAATCAAGAGCCTGATTACGAGCTCACAGTATCACCCTGATGACAGAGGAGTTTCCTGAAAATGGGACAGTTTTCTTAGAGAGGACGAATCTATCAAGTTCTCTCAGAAAGTGTGTTAGGATTTCTAAATGGTGTTAGGGAAATAAATAACCTTGCCTATTTTAAAATAGGCAAAAAGAATTTACCCACAGTTGTGTTTTTTTTTAATTAATGAATTCTGACAGAGCTCAAGCGAACATGTCATAAAACAAGTTTAGTTTTCCTCTTTCAAACACATGCTAGAATTTCACCCTTTTCTTTCTGGAAGAGTGCTTTAAATTATGGCTGCTGGCAAGACAAAATGACATCTGTCTAAGCAGTTGGTAGACTAATGTTTCATACTGTATCACACACACTGTAGACATGTTAATGATTCTGATCATCATTACACCATAAAAACTAAGCAAATTACACCATGATCTCCAGTCACTCTGTCTCAGATAAACTGAGAATGTGGCACAGAGGGCTTTAAAAATAAGGTAGCAGAGGTTGGATGACTGGTTTTATGGGCCAGCAAAATACCTTCCAAGAAATTACTCAATATGGCCTCAAGCCATGAACAATCCAGTCATAGATGCTGCTGCTGCTATCCAGCAATGCCATTTTCCCTAACCATTTTTGTTTAATTTTTTGTAAGTGTAACTTGTCTTGCAGGAATCATAGAAATCCAGAGCAGAATTTCAGCTCAAATTTTATCCTATATGATAAAGCAAAACAGAGGGAAATAATTACACTTACCTCTTTTTCAAAATCAGAGGGAAGAAGCTTGACAAAGTTATCTGGAAACACTCCACGCCTGCCACTGAGTTCTCCTTCCCACCAGCCTGCATCAATGCAATCCTACAATACATTAAAATAAAATGTCAAAAATTAAATGTACATGTATGCTGTACAGATTTATGGGTTGAAAGGCAGTTTGCCATAACCTTCTGCCTTTTCACTACAGCAGGACAATTTTCTAGAGTTTCAGGTACGCAGAACACTCTCCTAAATGAAAGCTACAATAATCACTCTGGCTCATACTGTGATGTGGAAGAAGGAGGAAAGAACAATAAATGTAAGTGCTTAATCAAGACTGGCTGGGCTTAAAGCGAAATGTTACCATTTAATCCATGAAACCAATAAGGCCTTTTGGCAGGTATGATATTACTTCTCTCTGATTTCATTTTAGTAAAATAAAATGATTTTATTAAACAAATACATTTTAGAATGCATTCTAAGCAGTAATAAGGCTCCTTTATTTTAATACTAAGGCTCTGAAATGTAAAACCTCTTCACACTAATAACTTTTACAATTATTAAATTTGATCACAAGTCCATTTGAACTGTTATATGCCGGTTCATTATTTATTACCACCAGTCATTGATTAGCAGTATGTTTACATCTACCCAGAAACTTCCTTAAGGAATCACTATCATGTGCAGCATTCTGTGAATAGCACAAACTAGTGTGTATAACAAAACCATTCTAATTTGTGGTGGTGACAACAAAAATATTGAGTTATGACATTATTAGATGACAGGCTGGAGGCACAGGCTAATTCTAAATAAAAAAAGAAAATTAGGTATCTTGGTAATGAACCATAATAGTGAAATAGAAAAAACGATAACAATTTAACAAGGTTTTTCATTATTATTTATTATTAATTCTATTATTATTATAACCAGAGACGGCAGACACTGTTGTTCAGCTGTTTATAGCTTTGATAAATGACACGGTTCAGACTGGAATTTTCCATGCTGGGTGTCTGCCTCAAGCTGAATTTTATTTGAAAGTTTCAGTCATTTAAAAAATGACATTAGGGAAAATATGTTGTTTTGCTCATATTGAAAAATTCATTACAGCCATTGAACTGAGAACCTCTATCACCACCACGTTTTGGAGCAAGGTCCTGACATTTGGCAAGCGGTTGCCCTGGTACCAGGGATATGCCTTTTGCTGACCCTGTGAATATTCAACCACATTTGCTCATGTTAAAACGTCTGAAAATTCACAGTTCACACATGCTCAGCAGACACTTGTTAGAGTTTGGAGGTAAATTCTCTGAAGATTCTGTCTTCAGTGAGAATAATCCAATACAAGGCTGTGAAGACCACAGGCAAAGTGTCTCATCCCTGTCTAGTGCCTTGTCCACATAAAAAATAATAGTCTACTTCTGCTAGCTGTTACTCTGTTAACTTAAATGGTAGAGGCCTATCAGGTGGATGTATAGGTCCGAACGCTGTTGATGACCCAAGCTGAGAGTCAGTATGATTCCATGTGATAGAATTTTTTTAAAGTAAGAAATAACATTTAAAAAACCTACATTAATAGAACATTAAGGTCTTTAATTACATAACCACATACTACTTTTTTCACAGAATGGATGGTCCTCAGGGAATGAATTGATGTCATGTAGTGAATAAAACTGCTGTCTGTAGGACCCTGCCTCATTTCTCACAGAAGTTGGAGGTGTGTAATCAATGAGACAAGGAACTGCAGGAAGAGAGAGGATGGTCTTATGATTAAGGTTGTATCCCTGCATCAGCCACAGAGTTTCCATGTGATACTGGGCAAGTCATTTAAACTAAAATGTTCACAGCTGGCCACTAATAGTATGTTCCTTCTTTTCTCGGTGCCAAACATGAGACCTTTGTGGGTTGATTTACAGAAGTGCTGATGCAAATGAAGTCACTGAGAGGTGTGCTTTGAACATATAGTGCTATACAATGCTAAATACTGGGGAAAATCAGGCCCCATGTTTCTCAAATTGGGCACCCAAAATTAGTGGAAACTTTTGACCCTAATCCCTCTGCTTCATTTCCTCATCTGTAAATTGGAGATCATACCACCCCCTCACCTCACAGAGGTACTATGAAGATAAATTAATTGTTTGTGAAGCACTCAGATACTATAGGAATAAGCACTATAAAAAAGCTCACGAGGAAGTGATTAATTCTGTATTCAGAGTAGGGTTTGAATCGTGTGCAGTAAATAAGGCATGGGGCCACCCATGGAACTATGAAGATTAAAATAGATAGAATAGCAGCTCATTCAGAGAGTACCGTCCAAACTGTGCCATGAATGAAGCAGGTAATAAAAATAGCAGATGATCATGGTAATTAAAGACTGTATTATAATACAGACACATGAGGGGCCAAATTAAGGTTGCATGGGCTTACTATTGCTTTTCCAGGTAAGCAATTGCTTTAGTTGCCATAGAGATGTGATTAATTAATTACATTAATCCAGAACAGATGGTGTCTCCCCACCCCCACAACCTGTCAATCAGGCTTATGCAGCCAATCGCCACACGGGATTTTTCACACATTAAGCAAATCTTCAGACAGACTCTCTAATTTTTTCATTCTCTGTCTTATATGCAAGAAGGTCCTTCTCTGTCGCTGAGCAGAAAGAATGGGGAGACTTCACCAAAAAGAAAGCTAAGCTTGGAGAATGGGTGTACCTCATCTAGGATGTCACCTTGCAGTTCACCATGAAAATACAAGATAAGAAAAAAAAAAGAGGAATTTGTGTTAGATAAGAACAGGAGTGTTTCATTCAGAGCTTTAAGGAGTATTGTCAGGAACAGTTTGAACCAAAATTTAGCTTTTGTAAAAATAAGCTTTAACAAAAGCTAAAGACCAACAGAACTGTTTTAATTAATTTCTTTTAAAACTTCCAATGGAAACCTTTTATAAAACAAAATTATATATTCCCCTGCGGCATTTGTAAGCAACACATTGCAGTATTATGCTTGCTCATAAGAACCTGAGTATGTGATAACATGACTTATAGAAAGTATGTGGTAAAACAAAAAATTTTGACTACTCTTTTCATCATCCAGGCTGAGAGAAATGTAAATCCTGAACAGCACAGTGAAAAGTAAAGAGGATGTTTAACTTTTTCTCCCTTTAAAAAGAAAAGTTGGAGGAGTTTTTTGTCATATACTCAGGAATTTTTGTTTCACATTATTTTAAGGCAGACAGATTTTTAAATACACTCCTAGCAAAATTAACGAAGCAATAAAATGTAAGATAAAGGCCATGGCTTATTCATATGCTTTCATATAAAGAGCTTTTTATCCATAGATCTCAAATCAATTTACAGAGGAAAGTATCATCTCCATTTAACAGATGGGAAAATGGAGACAGAGAAGAAGGGATGGGCCCAAGGTCACAAAGCAGGCCAGTGGAAGAAGCCAATTTGCAACCTACATTCTCCTATGCTCCAGTCTAGTACCCTAATCACTGGACCATAGTAAAGTATTATTACACGAAATAAAATTATTTGTTAGCTAAGTATCTTCTGTAGTAAAGGAGAAGCTTGGATTAAAAAAACCCAGTAAACACCACCTAACCCCTGGGCATGTACTCAGGCTTCTAGCCCTAGCCTCCATGGCCACACTGCTATTTTTAGCCCACTGGCTTGAGCAGAACTAGTGCATGTACATCTACCCAAGTTGAGAATTATACCTCCCAGCTATTGTGCAGACATACCCTATAAGACAAAGAAAAAGATCACAGGGATATCAGATAAAATGTCAATATGACCTGGGATTTTTAAGCAATTTATCTTAAAAAAAAAAAAAAAAAAAGTAAACAGGAAAAAACATTTAGTGTCGGAGAAGTAGCAAGCGCAAGAAACAGCATATACCAGAATAATCGGATACCTAGCATTCCCTAGGATGTCTAAGAATTTTGCCAGTAATTGTAAGTGTACATTCTGGCATCCACTAAAAGAATGATCCCTTTCTTGACATCAGCAATGACCAGGGGAAATGGGAGTAAGGACATCCCTCATGTAATCAGAAATGAAACACACCGAGCTGCAAAGAAATTATAAAAGGGAACCATCTCGAGAAAACAGACATTTTTCTAGGAGGGCAGAAAAAGAAGACAAAGGTCTCAATTCTGAAACTGGAGCCTACAGTGAGCAAAAGAGAAAAGGCAAAATAAAGTACACAAGGCGATCAAGACTTGAAAGAGAAAATAAAAGGAGCACCTGATCTGTTAGCATGTAAGCAAAAGAAACTTGTATTTGGAGCACCAGATTTCTGATACCACCTGCCAAGGTGAAGGAAACATAGGCACTGCTTACAGTATAAGACTATGACTGCAGGATCACATTTCAGCAGCTCCCAACTGGGACCTTGTAGAAAACTGTATCTTGGCTTATAAAAGCTAAAAAAACAGTGAAGTCATATTTTGTCCTTCTGGGCTAAGACGTCATTATAGTACTTGGTCTCTCAGATGGTGGGCTGCTGGACTAGCACATTCTTAAATAGACTACAAAACTGCTGAATTTTTTCTTAAAATTACAAATGAGGGGGAAGACACAAACTTTGTAGCTTCTGTAGGCCAAGCTTATTGCACATCCCAGAGGCTCCTTGCATCCCTCCATTCTCCCTACAACCACCCTGTGCACCACCCTCCCATCCCCCTCTGTTTCAGGGACTCCCTGCAGCTCCCCCACACCCAGGGGCTGTGTCTGTTCTCTATTCCCTCACTACTATGTGCCAGGGCTGTGTGTGTCTTTATTCCCCTCGCCCCCCAGGTCTCTTCTTCCCCATTCACCCACCCAGTTCCCTCACTAGATCCTCACTTCCCTCATCACCACATCCCCCCATCATTGCCAAGTCCACTTCCTTCTCCTGACTCCCCTCTGGATCCCTGTTTCCCTCATCACCTCCACTCCGCCCCCTATTCCTCCTCCTCTTTGAGTCCCTGCTTCCTTCCCTCTTTATCTCTACTGCCCCATTCCTCCAGTCGCTCTTATTTTCCCACTACCACTACTCTTCCCTGTACTCTACAAGCCTCTATTTCCCCTACAGCCCCACATACTATGCTCTTCCCCCACA